TACCTAAGCCCCATGGGCGGCACCCAGTGGACTGTAAATGGGTGTACAAAATTAAACACAATGCAGATGGCAGTATTTCCAGGTACAAGGCTCGTTTGATTGATAAAGGCTACAATCAGGAGTATGGGCTTGATTACTCCGAGACATTCAGTCCTGTTATTCGGCAGGAAACCATTCGCCTGGTACTGTCACTCGCCGTGCACAACAATTGGCTCATCAATCAGTTGGATGTTTCCAATGCTTTTCTTCAGGGCATGCTTGATCAAACTATCTACATGACGCAACCACCGGGCTATGTTGATCCCCGCTTCCCTCAACATGTTTGCAAACTCCAGAAGTCTCTGTATGGGCTCAAGCAAGCCCCCCGTGATTGGTACATACGTCTGAAAACATTCCTCCAAGGACTCGGCTCTACGTGTTGCGTACACGACACAAGTCTGTTTACTCGACATTCAGCACACAGTACAGTCATTCTTCTTGTCTATGTAGATGATATCATTATTATAGGCTCTACTGCAGCTCTCATTCAGGATGTCACTCGAGCTATGCATACTACCTTCAAAATGAAGGACCTTGGCCCGTTACATTATTTTCTGGGAATGGAGGTTTCTCGGACAGGCAGCGGCTTGTTTCTTCATCAGTCAAAATATGCTCGAGATCTGTTGCAGAAATCTGGACTGGAAAAATGCACCAGTCAACCAACACCGATGGCAGTCTCTTCGTCTACGAATGGAGCCGACACCCCCTTTGCTGATATCACCCACTTCCGCAGCCTCATTGGGGCTCTACAGTATCTGTCCATTACCCGTCCTGACATCCAGTTTGCTGTCAACCGAGTTGTTCAGCGCATGCATCAACCAAGTGAACATGATTACCATTGTCTAAAACGCATTCTCAGGTACGTTTTTGGCACTCTTGGTCGTGGTTTACTCATTTGACCCGGGGACTTGGAGCTTCGGGGTTCTCAGATTCAGATTGGGCGAATGATAAAAATGACAGAAAATCTACATCGGGGTTTCTTGTTTTTTTGGGGCCGAACCTGATCTCCTGGTGTACAAAAAAATAACCCAAGGTCTCTCGGTCCTCGACTGAAGCTGAATACCGCGCCCTTGCTCTTCTCGCTACTGAGACCATGTGGGTTACATATATTCTTCGCGAACTCCGCGCCACTCACACTGTTCCTGCTCTCTATTGTGACAACAAATCAACCATTCGTGTGGCCAAGAATTCCGCCCTACACACAAGAATGAAGCATGTTGATACCGATTGTCTCTTTGTTCGCGATGAAGTTCAGGCCGGCACCATGACTGTGCAGTATGTACCCACTGAAGAACAACCGGCTGATATTCTCACCAAGCCTCTCTCGAGCAGATATTACGATTACCTCAGTTCCAAGTTTCCGTTCGCTTTCGCTCAGCTCAGCTTGAGGGGGGATAATAACAGATAGTATTAAATAAATAGTATTAAATAATATTAGTATTTACTGTGTACTAATCCTAGTCCTATTAGGATTAGTACTCCTTAATCCTAGTCCTATTAGGATTAGTACTCCTTCCTATATCTCCTATATATATCTCCCATGTATTCCCTTATTAGGTTAACACTTCAATACAATCAATATTCCTTCAATATATGTAAAACAAAAGGCAGCGCTCTAACTTTCTACACGTTAAAAATAAAATATTTGATTGCTTTTTTCAGTCTTTTAATATTTATTTATTCCTTCACAATCGATTACTAAATAGAGAATTAATAACTCGGATGTTCATTTGATTCCTCAAAAATATCAAATAGTAATACTTCCTGATAGTGAAAGGATAAATTACAAAATTATTAATGTTCGCTACTACGTAATCTATATGTAAAAGAATATAATTTTCTAGTCTTAATAATTGATATTGCGATTTACGCCCACGTGAAGCACGAGCTACTTGGCTAGTAATCAGGGTCTGACTCAACATGATTGGGGGCCTAAAGCCAAACCTTAAAGAGGGACCCTAATTTTTTTTTAAAAAAATATTCATGTACTATATATTTATTTAAAATCTATTTTCTTGCCTTTTTAGATGTGAAGTCATTAATTAATTGTTGTTTTCTAATCAATTTGTTTTAGTAATTCCTTTTAAATTGATAATATAGATAATACACTCAATCTCATGTTGTTGATCTTAGATAAGATTTTATCAATTTTAGTTTTGAAAAATTTCTTTCGGCCGAAGCAATAGTTACAATAATTGTTAACATTATTCTATAAGTAATATATGCATTAGGAAAAGAATCAAGTCTTTTCATTAAATTATTATCTTCTACTTGTATTGTTTCTCTTAATAATAACATAAACGAGAATATGTATACTAACTAAGAATATCAACAATAATAAAAGTTCACAAAAAAATTATAAAATAAAGTTAGAATAATAAAACCTGACTCACAAATTTGATAAGTAATAATATTGAAATAGTCGTGCATTCCTTCAATATATATTGAAATTGCACTTCTTAAGATTTTGAAGAAGACACTCAAAAACAAATTTTATTCTTTTTTAACTTGTAAGCAACAATAAATCATTTTTTTAGGAGAGACTTCAACATTGAAAAATAAAATAAAATAGAGAATAAAAAAATATGAGTATAAGGTAAACAATAATATAAGGTCAATTTTTTTAGAGATAAATAAGAAAACACAGTTTCCCACTTAAGTAAATTATTTTCATAAAATATTTCATTTTCTTAGAAAAGTGGGAAAAACTAACGACTATTTTATTTTTTATACTTCTTACATGTTTATTTTTTAAAATTAAAAGATGCATATAATTTTAAGTAATATGTATAAATATTTTTTAATAAATTGGAGATCCAAAAAAATATGAGACTCCAAGCGATGTCTTTAGTGGCCTAGTGATTAAGACGGTCCAATAATAACATAAGTCTAAATCTAAATTGCATAAAATTCCATTTGTCTAAATTCTAATCGGTTCAAGTATTGACATATTGCGTTACTTCCAAATAAGTGAATATTCAATGGCAACTATAACCTAGTCATGCTAGCAATTATAGCCACATGATTGCAAGTTGTCAATTCTACCTATTTTATTATTTCCTTTTCATATAATAAAGAATTATTCAAGGATAAATATCATATTATTCAAAATTTAAATCATATAAGTTTCATGTTTACTTTTCCTGTTTAAATATGTTTTCAACAAATCTTACAATTTTATTAGTCTATATAAACAAAATATAAACCTTATATAATCAGAAGTCTGAAGCTTAAAGGGTTAAAAAAAATATCAAAAATTTCAAAAGGGTATATCAATTTTTTTCTTAACCAAAAGGGCAAAAACGCTTCTCTTGTAGCAGTTTTCTTCTGACGTCGTTACTTTGTTAGAATTAAAATCACTAACCTACCAACGATTTTGTCCAAAAAATAATATTTGGAAATCGCTCCATATGTAGCAATTTTTGTTTTAAATTTTTTTTTAATAATCATTGCAAAGGCAGCGATTTCAGCAATAATCTTTTAAAAAAAATTTCAAATCCCTGCTACCAATTAAGTATACAATAATAAATTATAAAGTAACTCAATTGGAAAAAAAATTCTACTAAAATCGCTGCTTTGGCGGCGATTATGAAAAAAACATTTCAAACTAAAATCGTTACGTATGCAACAATTTTCTATTTTTTAAATAATTTCTGACACAACGTTCTAATTTTTTTGAAAACTTTTTTCACGAGAAACGCTGCTTGGGCAGCAATATTTTTTAAAAAAGGGGAAAAAGTTTTTGGACAAAATCGCTGGTAGGTCAGCGATTTGATTTGAACAAAGTAACGGCGTCAGAAGAAAATCGCGACATAAGGAGCGTTTTGCCCTTTTGGTTAAAAAAAAAATTGTCGCACCTTTTTAGAATTTTTGATAATATTTTTTACCCTTTAGGCTTCGGACTCGTATAATCAGCTGGATTCACAATATTCCAATTAAGTTGTATACATACATCATAGAGTGCTAGTAATTAGTTCTATATGAATGGATCAATTCGATTTTCATAAATGACAAATCAATGGGGTTGGGTATTAAAAGTGAGTTGCAAAGGGGAAAGGCTTCAGACAAAAAATTGAAATTCGAGATTTCTTGTTAAGGTTGAATGGATTATTTATCTATCACATTCCTTATGGTTGCTAGCTTTTAAATATTAAATGTACTTCTTTGTCCATAGTTTCTAATATTTTGGTATGAAGTAAAATTTTTCTTGGAAATTAGTTGGTTTCTAACTTATTTTCTGAGGTTCGTTTGGTAAGTGAAAAAAATATTTTCTACTGTTTGATCGATGAATGAAAGATTTTTTTTAAAAAATATCTTTTATTTTTTGCTAGAGAATAGAAAATATCTGAATTAGGACTCCACCTAACACTCGATCTGGGACTCGGTCTGACACCCAATGCGGGACTCGATTCCCACTCCTGACCAAGGATCTGACCCTGACTTCCGATCCAGACCCTGACTTCCGATCCAGACCCCACCATACCCCCGACTCTCGATTCAAAATTTGACTTTTGAGTCAAAATTTTGCCCGACATCAAATCTGAGACTGCCCTCATACTTGACTCGAGACCAAATATGGGATTCGACTTCTAATCACAACCCAGGACCTGAAACTCAAAATGCGATTCGACCGATCCTGGACTCGAATAGGTCTTGAATCTAGGTTGGAAGTCGGATTCAATTCCGGATTATTATTGGAAATCAATACTCAAAAGTTGAGTCAAGGTGAAAAGTTGAGGTGTGAGGTTGAAAAAGAAATTTGAAAAATGTTCTTTTTAAAAGGTAAATCATTTTCCTTAAATTTAAGGAAAATAAGTTGATTTTAAAAAACCAATCAAAAATGAGAAAATTGAAAACATTTTCCACATGTTCGTATGATGGGTTATTCTGCAACTTGATTTCTCTAATCAACCTTAAAAGGTTTAAACTTGTACAATTCTTCGTATTTTTTTCTCTCAAGAATGGCTGCTACATTTTCTTTCTTCTTTGTCACAATCTTGATCTTGGTTTTCGCCATTGTTGAAGGTCGAATACTTGAACATGAACTTAGTAGTGAAAGGATCTCAGATGGAGTTGAACACAAACTCAAGAATCAATCAAATTATCTAAGTCTAGGCAACTTGAATGAACTTCCTTCAGGGGATCAATGTAATCATATATATGGTTTTTTCCATGTGCAGAGAATATTGGAGGGTACTTATTCATGATTGTCACATTTCAATACTAGTTGATTCTTGGTGAAAAAGTATTGGCCATTGGAAGCAACAGGCTCTTTAGTATCCTTGACACTGGTATTTTTGGTGCAAGTATCTTTCCAACACTTATAACTTGGCCAAGAATTGTTATGGCCTTTGGTAACTACCCATCTTATACTCAATTACCTTTTAAAAATCTTGGTCTCCAGGCCATAGGGTACCAGGTCCACCAAAACTCGGACAGATGACAAAAAGTCACCTAGTGTTTTTTGCTTAACCATTTATTCATACAATTTATGTTATATAGTATATCCTATTTTTGTTCTTTTGCTCAATACCCTCAATCTTTTTACTATGGTTATATATTACTCTTTTAAATTAGAGCTTCATACAAAGTTTGCTATAACTAACCTAATGATGCTGTCAACGCAGAGAACATAAAATCTTATTCATATACTGTCAATCCTTTGTATGAAAATTCTAACTAGCCTTTGGTTTTTGCAGCATCTGGACTATTGGTGAGTAGAGAGAAAGCTTAAATATCAGTATCTTCTGCACTTGGTTCCAATATTGGTTCTAGTGTATTGAATCTTACTGTGCTCTGGCGCATATGTGTTATACTTGAGACACAAAATACCTCAACAAATTCAACAAAGTGTAGATTTTTCCACTTCAACTTTGAAGTTGGAGGACTTGAAGAATGTGTTCATTTAGCTTGAACTTAATTAGGAAAAACAAAGATTTAAGAATGACAAGTTTTGTTTTGGTACTTACAGGTAAAGGAGTCATAACAAACAATCTTACTGGTTATATAGCTGGAATCATGTTTCTCTCACTTTTACCATTCACAATAATGCTATTTGGCGATATCATCAGTTCAGCAGTAGGAAAAAGCATCACAATTCTTGTTGCTCTTTTTGTATCAGTCACATTTTTGCTGTCATATTTCACTTACCAGGTGATAAAAAAATCTTGATTCACCTATACTAGCTTTGATGTTACAGTTCTGTCATGTTAAAGTTTGTGTTTCTGATATGTGTAGTAGATGTGGAATACATTGATTCAACAAAAGAGAATAGAGTACATAAAACACCAAAATCTGGTGCATGTATTTGTGCAACATATTCAAAGGCAAGCAAGAGGAAATCTCTTTAAAGGGGGCCATCCTGACAATAACAATCACTGAACTAGAAGAACTGGTAAAACAGCTTGAATCTGGAAAGTTTAAAGTGGACAGTGACTTTGCCCTGTCAACACTGTCTAGAATATTCGATCAAAACAGATTTGGAAGGACAAAATGAAGAAGAGTTCATTGTGAGGGATCCAACAAGTTGATACAAGAAGCTAAGGACGATTAAACCTTGAAGAAATTTCTTGATGAGGCAAATTTTCACCTCCTTTTGCTCTTTGTCACTAATATAGACACTAGGGGCTAGTTTTGTAACCAAAAAGATCACTTTTTTACTGGCCAAATTAAAAGAATGTTGATAGAAAGAAGCTGGAATATGATCATGATTAGTTTGAGCTAGTAAAATGATTTACTTTGCAACTGCATAAATATGCAGGTAGTTAAGGCATACAGAGAGACAAAAAAAGGATAGATTGAGGAGCTCATACCGCAAGTTTTGAAGCAAATTCAAAACCAAGCAATTGAATCTGAAGGCCTTCAAAATGATGATGGTAGCCCCAACATCGAATCCATTAAAAGGTATACAATACATTCATTCTCTCAAGTTTTGAACCATATTAAAGTACTCAGAATCTTGATCTGTATATCTCAGCTGAAGTCTGTCCCAAATGAGAGTTTTTCACAAGTTCCTAAGGATCAATATCTCATTAATCTTTAACATCTGATTGTGTTACAGGCTCTTCCGTAAGTTAGATGATGATCATAACAGTTATTTAACACCGTTATAACTAGAGAAGCTAACGGAAAATGTCAAATTCAGACAGGCACACTGAATCACAAAACCTCTGTAAAGGAAATCATGAAGGACTTCGATCAAAATGATGAACACTTGATCGATGAAAATGAGTTTCTCTGTGGTGTGACATATTGGCTTCATAATGCCAAGCAAACTACCGAAGAACATCATGATAAGGTAAAAATATATTCTAGCTAAATACTCCTATATGGTGTGTGATATATGTACTAGTAGAGGCGGAGTTTAGATTTTGAGTTTATGGGTTCTGAATTCTAGAAAAGGAAAATACAACTTATTAGTTCTGGAAAAATTAAGCTATGGGTTCTACCGACCCTGTTAGCAGAATTGTTGCCCATCCTTGTGTACAAGATATTTTGACAGATACGATTTGTTGGAATTTTATTTTCTACAGGTGATGTGGGGAGAATTTGACAAGTTCTTGGATGAAGTAGAAAAAGGAAACCATAGACGTTTCAACCACTCTTTGGTGTTAAAATGGGACATCTGCAAGTCTGTGTTGCAAGTGATTTTGGGCATTGCTATATTGACACTGTGTGCAGATCCAATCATGGATAACATTATACGACTGGCAAGTGCAATTGGCGTGCCTTCTTTCTTCCTATCATTTGTCATAGTACCTTTAGCTATCAATGTATGTACTGCAATAACAGCAGTAACTTTACTCTCTTCAGCCAATCAGCAGAGTGGCACAACTTTCTTCTTTGACATTTTCTGAGGTCTGCATATCTTTTCTCGTGAAAGTACTTGCTCTCTTTCTTTGTAATTTTGTCTTAAGACCCTTGACAACTCTGTTATTCAATATGTTTTACAAGCAGATCTATGTGGGGGGGGGGGGGGGGGATCATGAACAATATTATGGGGATGTCAACTGTGTTAACTGTATTATATGCCAAAGACTTGAGATGGGAGTACTCACCTGAAGTGTTGGTATCTATAGTGATCTGCACTGTAACTGTCTCTTTTGCATTCATCCATACCACTAGTCCACTTTGAACTTGTATTGTAGCTTTCTTATTTTATCCTATTGCACTTGTACTACTTTTTATTTTCCAATAGTTACAATCTAATTATTCTTGTAATTAAAATCCTCTATTCTACTAATTAAGTGTATACCTGCTACATATGTATGGTGGTGCTGTTACTGCTTAACATTGTTCTCCATTGTTCACTAATTACTATAATTTGGATCCATCAATCTCAGATCCTTTTATGCTTTTTTAGTATTTGTAGTTTTTTAAGTTGTCTTTCTTTCAGCTTTTGTCCACGCTAACTCGTAAGAACAGAAACAAGTAAGTAAAGGAGAACAAACTAATGCAACAACTACTTCTAATTAGTATTAAAGAGAAAAATGTGACATGTTACTCAATTGTTTGCAATATATAAGCAAGGGAATGAATAAAGATACTTGAATAAATCATTTTTTTAATAATGTTGGACAAATCTTGCACCTGTGTCATTACCATCATCCACCTAGCAATGGACAGTCGATTATATGGACGTTGGCATTGTGGTTGTAGATTCCTTGAGGTATCGATGCCAAAACAGGACAATCCTCTATATACAGTCTCTGAAGTGAGGAGCAATTCGGCAGCCACTCTGGAAGCTCCACCAGGTAGGGACAATCGGCGATTCTAAAGTACTTCAATGTTGTAGGAGCGGTATCTTTGAGTTCCAATGGTAGAGTCACCAACTTAGGAAGCCCCATTAGAAGCAAGGATTGAAGACTTGTTAGGCCTGACATTCCTTCTCTATCAATCAAATCAAGTTCTTCACAGTTCCAGATCCATAGCTTTTCAAGTGAAGTAAGATATCTAATACTTCTTGGAAGAGAACATAAACTTGGCATTCGTAGATACGCAACAACCGAAGTTCAGTAAAATGCTGCACCAGTTCTGGCTGCAATTTTGGGAAACAACATTCGAAAAGAAGCAAAAATTGAAGAGAAGTGAAAGAATGTTGATTCTTGATCCCTGCTAATATCTGATGTGTGGTCAAATACAAGGTCTTCAGGCTGATTAACTTTCTAAAGTCTCTTGGCAACTCCTTAAGCTGTTCACAGTTAATGAGGTTAAGGGTGTGCAAATTTACTAATTTGCTCATAGACCTTGGAATAAACTTGATATTACCACTGTCACTAAGGTTAAGGTATCTTAATTCATTCAAGTTACCTATCGAAGTTGGCAACTCCTCAAGATCTAGATTGTTCAAGACTAACATCCGAAGGCATTTGAAATTTGACAACATTGTCTTGACAAAAAACTTGTTTACAGGTCCAATATTAAACGAATAAAAAAAAAGACCTCACCTTATGCAAAGGAAGCAAAAATCTGGGGAAGTATTTCCTAGACATATCTTCTGCATGGAAGAATAAGTGGCGAACTCTCTCAGAAACCACGAAAGCATTGGGTTTCACATTTAAGCACTCTGCACCTGATACTGACTGTGCAAGATCATGCACAAGATTGTGTATCTTACAAGCCAATATTTCTCCATCAAAAGCTGCTTGTATCACATCTAGGAAGCAAAACCTTGATAGCAACTCATCAAAGTACTGATTACCGATATCTTCCAACTTCCTGTTTCTGTTTGAACTCTGGATAAATCCTTGAGCCCAGCGATTGATAAAATCCTCCCACGGAATTTCTTGACCTTTGGGTAACATGGGGCAATAGGCAAAGCACTGTCTTAGATGTGATGGCATCTGTTCATAGCTCAACCTCAATATTGGTAAGATGTCAGATTTATTCTGTTCGATTTCCCATATCTCATCGTCTCTTATCTGCAACCATTCGTTCTTGTCTGTTTTCATGTACAACAACCTTCCCAAGGTTTTCACAGCCAAAGGCACTCCTCCACACTTTTTCACAATTTCTTTTCCTATTTCTACTAGATTAGGAAACAAATTGTCCTGCCCTCCAAATGCACATTTCAAAAATAAGATAAGCAGTCATCATTACCAAGGCCTCTCAAATAATAAGGCGGAACTGTTCCAGTAATCAAAGCAACCATCTTACTACGTGTAGTGACAACAATTTTACTACCTCTGGAACAATTCATCGGCAACTCCCTCATATCTATCCACTTGTGTTGATCTTCATTCCACACATCATCCAGCACAAGTAAATACCTTTTCTGTTGCAAAACCTCTCCCAAACAACCTTGTAATTGGTCCATATCTAGGTGGTCAAAACTCTCTCCTGTTCCGGACCTCACAATTTTCTCAATTACCTTGCTCAGACTAAAATCTTCAGAAATACTAACCCACAATCTAAGGTTGAAATTCTGAACAACCCTATTATTGTTATAAACCAACTTAACAAGTGTGGTTTTTCCAAGCCCTCTAAGTCCAACAATAGGAATCACAAAAATATTTTCCTCATCATGAGAATCTATCAGCTGTTATACAATGTTTTCTTGATCATCATCTCTACCAATGATATCTGATGCCCTCACAAAGGAGTGTGTTTGTTCTCTACTCGTATTCTCAGCTGGAGTTACATAAGTATGTTCCGTGAAGTGGAAATTTCTCCAATCATCTGCAATCTCATTCAGCAGCTCCTTGATTTCTTTTACTTTTCTGCCAATCTTGAATCGATATATAATTGGATTTGAACCTGAAAAGAACTTCCTTACCTTCTTCCTAAAGCTTTACTCGAAATGCATTCGCAGCAACAGTTGTGTTGATAAATCATCCATCAAATCATCGACATCATAAACAACATCTCTGAGCTTTTCCAGCCAATCTCTCACTTCATGGTTCTTCGCCTGCTGCTCGTTTGCATCTAGAAGTACAACTTTGATGGTGGATAGAGTACTTTGGAGTTTCCTTAGCTCTGTCTTAACATTCCAAGCTAGACTGATCTCATATATAGCAATTGAAGAAACTTTAGCCAAAACACGTTCAATGATATTGAACAAGAAAGATTTCGCCAAAACACGTTCAAGGATCTACATTCTCCAAGTCAACACCTCTTTGAAAAGTCATGCATGTTTTGATAAAAGGATTGTGAACCACAAACAACTAATAGAGACAACATTTTAAGACTATTGTCTTTACTTTTGCAACTGTATAATTTCCGGTAATAAGTAAAAAGTAAATCCTGATTAATGATGGGAGACTATTTATCTTGGTTGGGAGATCAGAGCATTCTCGTAGGTGGACTATAGGTTAATCTTAGTTTCGAGCCAGTGAGGACTATAATTCAACTTAAGGAAAATATGTGATAGGAAACAAAGGGTTGACTCTGAAATTTTGATAAGAAGTGGTGCCGTCCACTCTTGCAAATTAAATAGTTTCATGTGTCATATGCAGAGTTTAAGTTATGTACACCGTCCGCCAGTTTAAGGAATTTTTACACCTATAAATTATGAGTTTTAGTAGAATTCAGGTCATCAATTTATATATATATATGATATATATATATACATATATATATATATATATATATATATGTATGTATATATATATATATTCTGATAGTCTTGGAAGAATAAATAATGTAATCAAAACAGGTAGGTCCACCAGCTCTGAAGAAAAAAACTATCTAAATGTCTGGTACCTATCATTTGTACTCATTATTGGACATACCTATTTTCATTTTTTCTTTTTGCTCCATATAGTAGTGTCCTCCTTCACGAGATAGTGTAAGGTCTGCGTACACTCTACCCTCCCAGACCCCACTTTGTGGGATTTCACTGGGTATTATGTTGTTGTTGCTCCTGAGTAGTGTCACACCAGTATGATTCTGGTTAAACGGGGCATTCCTCAGCTGGGAGACTAATGACCTAAGGCTAACATAGCGAGTCAGAATTCAAGATTACTCTTTAGAGAACTCCTCTTCTGATGACATTTGAACTATGTTTCCCTACTGAAAAGTCTAAAATAGATAATGTTAAGGTTGTTGCCAATTTCATTAGACTAACTGTTGATGCAATAACTCAATACGCCTCTCTGGTGCTTTTTCCTTTAATTGTTTTAAGTAGTATAGCAACTGGATTTTGCCAGGTGATCCTTTAAATTGACTCAAATCAGATGTCCCTAAGGATCGTGGATCGCTTAGTAATGAGGTTCCTAAATCATCAGGTTTCGCAAAGATGTAGCTTTAACATGTACCCCTATTGGCATTGCAATCTTAGATCAAGCAATGCAAGACCAGATGGAATGATAAGGACTGCAGACACAAGCAGAATAAAACGCGCATCTATTGCAAAGAATGAGTGGTTTATTTAAGCTTCCAACAGAATCAGACTGTCAATTTTACTCAAATAACATGGAATCATTTTCAGTTTTAGTTATTAATCTGTCATCCCATTCTCCGTCTCCCCCTTGGAGCTTGATGGATATTGTGTGTGCTATGTATATTCATTGAACACAGCTATCGATTGCATTATTTAAGCTTACCATTGTTGGATCTTGAGTTGAATTTTATCTAACCTGTATGAAACCAGAGGGAGCAGTTAATTCAATGATCATAGAGTTTTCTATGCATAGACTGATATCTTCAGGACTTTTTTGACATACAGTCGTTAAGTTATGATATACAAGGTAAACTGGTTTAAGATTGGATGTATCCCTCTTTGATTGCAGGTTCTGTCACCTATGACAACCATATACACTATACACAGATTCTCATACTAGAGCCACATAACCTGACTAGCTCATTTAGATTTAGACTGAAAAATGGTGTCTCACAGTTTTTTATGGCCGTGGTGTCCAAACCAGTTTTTCACAGGATATCTGTCACCTAACAGATACAAGGTAATGGCAGATCACAGTTCCAAACTAACACAATCATAGGAATGGGGAATTATACAGACTTCTCTATATTCTAGAAGGAATTTTATTGTCTTACATCTCTGACAACTGGTGAAGTGACAGCCCTACACTAACATATATACTAAACTAAAGTAAATCTAGACAAGACACCTTACATGAGATCAGTTCCAAAAGTATACAGTGATCACCTTAATCAATCCAACAAAGATCAAATGATATGATTAGCCAACTTCATTGCAAAGACAGATAAGATAAAACAGACAAGTGACCCTTAAGAGTTATGTTCAGCTGTTCCAACATTCTCCTAAAGTATTACCAATGACAAAATTGGAAGAGAAGGAATTAAGTAGGAGGAATTTTCTTACCGAATCCATCTCACATGCAGACCACTTTTATAGAATTACTAGATTTAGGATAAAAAATATTTGCAAACTTAACTTCATTGTTTGGCCAAAATAAACTTGTGAGCCTTCTTAGCGCAAAGTAGACAATAATGAGCCTAGCCAATTTAGTTACTCAAGGCTGCACTCTAGTTGCAGCGCAACCAGAATGCTGCCAACAAGTATCAGAGACCAAAAAAAGGCAGCCTAGTGCAGTAAGCTTCTGCTATGTGCAGGGTACGAGGATGGTTAGACCACAAGGGTCAATTGAACGCATCCTTACCCTGCATTTCTGTAAGAGGTTGTTTCCATGGCTCGAACCTGTGAGACTGCAATAACTAATTTAGAAAACTAGTAAGAGGTCAACCTGAATGCAGCTGCAAATAAATCTGGGTTGTGTTTATTAAGATGTGAAAACTGAATGTACTATGGTATTCCAGAAAAAATGCCCCGTCAAAATGAGGAAAATGACGTCCAACACTTAAATGTGAAAGACGTTTTCCTTTTTATAAATATTACCACACTAAATCAATCTCATTTCTTCTGATCAATACATAGACATCACTATTGACACTTAACACCCAAAACTATCACCAAAAAAATTATCTTTATAACGTATCCTACACCTTATACAATTAGAATATCCCATGTACTTTGTTATCCAATCAAACACGGAATAGTACTCAATCTTCTAAGAGAGCATGGAAAACATTTTCCTCCGTATGAGACGCATACCAAAATCTCAAATTGCAATATGTAACATAGCCATTCAATGCACCACCACAGCAGGATTCTGGCTGCATTTTACATACACAATGCAGGTGCAGCTTCCACAAATCAATTATCTAAGCGGAAATCATATATAATCTATTTAGCCCAGAAATCATCAAGAACTGAATCATTTTGCTGCCAAAACAGAAATATTTGCAGATAAAGTACTAAAGACATTGCTATTTGAAGCTTCAGCTCTATCAAACCACTGTAAACAATATTTATCCATAAATTTACAAAATATGTAAGAAGCAAGCAACAATTCACAAACAAAGGAGAAGATGATGTTTCTGTACAGTATAACTCAACCAACATGAAAAGGACCAATATCACCAGTTCGAAAAGAGGCAGCAACCTCATCTGCAATAGTCAAGCAAGCGACTACCCAACCACTCAATGCCATCCACACCATCTTAGCAATCCATAGTGTTGTACTCCATGGAACCGCCATTGTCCAAGATTCAGCAAACCCAAAAAAGCAATCACCTTTCTACACCAAAACCATTCATAGAAAACCCCAAATCCTCACTTCATCAAATAAATTTAACCCAAAAAGCAATCACATTTCCACACCAAATCTATTCATACAAAACCCCAAATCCTCAGTTCATACCCAAAAAAGCAATCACCTTTCTACACCAAAACCATTTATAAAAATCCCCTAATACTCACTTCATCAAATAAATTTGACCCAAAAAGCAATCACCTTTCCACACCAAATACATGTAGAAAACCCTAAATCTTCAGTTCATACCCAAAAGGGATCCAAGATTTGTCTTTGACCAACCACCATACTTTCAAAACAGATTTCTGCTTCAACAGCTGCAAAGAGACTCATACATAAAGACAAAAAGTGGGAATCAAGATCCTGTGAAAATCCTTTGATTTCAAAAAAGGGGTATCATATTTTTCACTGACTTACCATTTAAAGATTGATATTTTTTGTTTGTACAATAAATAGTGGAAATGATATGGATTTGTTAACCATTTGTAAGTTTCTTGCTGTCGGTAGAAGACAAGTGCCTGTGGACCTAAACAGTTAAATTTCCAATCTACCCCCTCTATTTCTAACACATACACATTAGAGTACATGAATTTTCGAGTTCGGACCTTATTTGAGCCACAAAAAGATAAATTTGATTAAAATAAGTTATAAAGTAATTAACATAGGCTTAGTATAATTTTTTTCTTTTGTTTTATTCAAAAATATAAACGGTAGATGTTAGTGTGTTAAGTCTATATTTAACATGAAACATAATATTTTTTTGGAAAAATTACGCAACAAAATAAATTTATACTATTTTGATAAAATCAACTTTTCTTATAAAGTTCACGATTTCGGTAAAGTCCACTTTTCTTCTTACAGTTTATAAAGTGTAAGAAAAATTGTAATTACCGTTTGAGAAGTATCATTACACTAATAGTAAAAATATGATTTAAAGAAAATTTTATTCTAAAAATAAATTAAAAACGCCATGCGGTACGTTTTTACACTTTGGACTTACATGTTTATGCTCAGGGCTTATGCCTCAAATTTTAGGACTTACGCCTTATGGATCTACGTCTTTCATTTACGCCCCGCTCAAAAAATGTTTTCTAAAACACTGTTGTGACACATCAAATTTTGCATTGCATACAATTAGTTATTTCCCCCAAAACAATAAAACATTATACATCGACGTACCATCCAACTTGACCTGAATTGATATCTATACCTCTAATTTTTAATGTTTATAGAACTTAAATTTGTATAAAGTTGAACAATAGATACACACATCGCAAATTGTCATATAGGATACCATGTAGGATATCTGTGTCTATTTGTTCAATTATATACAAGTTTAAATGTTTACTTATGCACACCAAAAGTCGGAAACATAAATGTCAATTGAGGCAAGTCAAGACATTTTTATATATTATGCCAATACAATAATAGCAAAAATTATACTAGCACAAAAAAGTAAAGGTTGACTGCAGGGTCATAAGAAATCTTGTAAAGCAATACATTTTAGGCTAACAATTACAATTCAAGAGCACATGAATGATAGCATATATAAAGTCTCTTCTACTGCCTGGAATGTACTTTAAAAACATGTCATTTGGTTTAAGCATTGAATCTTTATGTCTCTACAAGTGTATTGATGAGAATGTTGATTACTAGAAAAACATCATTACACATTTTATAATGCTTTCTCAATCGCGTAGGAGTTCCACTCTTAAAGACATGTTGAACGAGTTCATACTTGTTGTAGATTGCGTTCAAGGACTCTGACTGTTCTTTTGCTAGTTGTTCTTCCTTCTTTAATTGACGCTACGTGAAGAGAAGGAACTATTTAGGACAACAATGTATTATAACCATGAAAACAATTTTATGAGCAAATGTTTACCTTGAGCAAAAAAATGGCTTCTTTTGCATGGATCCTAACTATACGTTTCATCTTCGTGGCCACTTCAAAATTAGGATCATTGGATTTCAACCAGTAGTACATTATCGTCTATCAGGTTTTCTTGGGAGATTATCAAACATCTCAACTACAGCAGCACGTGCCCTAACAGGTCTTGGCATGCCTGAGATCACGAAAGGGGAATTTCCTATCTCAGAGATGATTGTTCTTGCTTCATATGCATTCTTCATTACAACTAAAGCAGCTCGTCCCATCCCTTTTAGTTCAAGCTAGGTTAGGATTAACTTGACCAGAATGACATTTCCGAACTGATCAAATGTAGCTTTGGTAACAGATTCCTTAGCCAATTGTGAAAGATTGTCAATATAGACGCTGTGTTTCACTTTATTCTCAAAGGCAGCATACTCTTCAAATACAACTTCCATGAGATGTAGAAAGTAAATTTCCCCAAAATACAAGCAAAACTCACCAACACCTTCAGAAAAAAAACAATTTTCAGGGTTCCATGATGCCACATAAAATCATCCAATTGCAAGTGAAGCAAATTAACCAGCTCAAAACTTAATTAGATTATCATCTCTCAGACTTCCACATCAGTCAAACAACGACACTACTAAACGAAATATCATCTTGACAAACAATTTGCCAACGTGCGGGAGATTATACTATAATGAACAAAATAATGTCAGTATTTCTTCATTAACAGAAAGGGGAAAAAACAGTTCCAACATAGAAGCTCGACTATTAGAACTCACCTTTCCAAAAAAAATTTACTGATAGTACAACAACGAAAATGTACCTAGTGTAATCCCACAATTGGCGTCTAGATCGGCTAGAGTGTACATAGACCTTAACTCACAAAGAAATAGAGACGATTTTTGAGAATTTCTGATATATAGTAATCTTACTAATACTCTGTATTCCCAAAATAACTACTAGCCCACAATGAATCTTCAATCAGCAAAAGAATGTGATTTTTCCAATCAAACCAAATATTCTTAAGCCAACTATTTTCATTTTTCCTTTAGCTAATGCCATTACAACCTCAAGAAGCATACTGCTCCAATGTAGAAGAGTAGCAAAACTCGGGGAAAAAATCACAGAAGGAGTCTCATCAATTTATGTGGATCAATCAAAATGGTAATACTAACATTTCGGTCTTTCGCTATTTTGTCTATGATCCAACCTAACCTATTTTACAAATATAACGAAATCTTAAAATCAACAATTATTGTAATCACATTGAGAGAAAATCCCCAAAAATTTCAGATTATTGTGGTGATGGTGAAATATCTATTCGATCCGGACAAGAAAACACACAACAAAAGTAAAATCAACCGAATTGTAATCACATTTCGATCAATAAAGAAAAATGTATGAGCATTAAATTGAATGGAAAAGGGCTTTGGGTTTCGCCATTTTACCTTTGGATATAAGAAATTTGCTTCTTCATTACTTGCTACTGTCTATTTGAGCTTCCATCTGAAATTCACAGTGCGCGCTTATCCTCTTAATGTGAATTGAAGAATACATTGTAATTACACCAAAGTCAATTTCCAAGGTAGCTTTCCAAATAGGCCCTTACTATTCTTATACACCCTACCAAGCAAAACCCCTAAGTAGGAATGTAAGCTCATCTTCTATAAATCTTACCACGTAGTGAAAGAATTTGCCACCCGTCTAAGTACCCGTTTGGATTGACTTATTTTAGGTTATTTTAAGCCAAAATAACTTTTAAGCAGTTTTAAAGTGTTTGGGTAAAGTTAAATGTGCGTATAAGCACTTATTTTAAAGCCAAAATAACAAAAATAAGCCAAAAACCATAAATTTAGAAATCTAACTTATGGCTTTTGGCTTATAAGTCATAAGTCAATCCAAACAAGGCCTAACTTTGTTAAATTCATTCTTCCACAGAGACCGCATATTTCTGGGAATAGATGAAGTATATATTTCAAACTAGATGAACAAATACAACCATCAAAGAACTTATTCATGCTACTCAACTTCTATGTTGTTCAGACACTCTAGCATTTGTGTAGGATCAATCACAAGAAAAGAAAAATTTTTGGAGGATCCAACTTTAGTGGCAAGTCTAGACAACATATCTCTAGTACTCTGTAATAATATAAAAAAGAGACACCAATATAGTACTCACACCAATACAAGGAATACAAATACTATTTCCTTGAGCTTCAACTAAAACAATAGGATATAGAATAATAAAACATCACAATTTTTTTTTTGGGAAATATGAAGGATATCATTAGCAAAAAGCATCCAGAAGATGCGAGCATTACAAAGATATTATCAGCTCCCAAGAAGAAAAAAAAGCTATCACAACTATCAATATACATCTATATGATGGAGCTAATAAATTCTACGAAAGATTCAACAGTAATTATAGAGGAGTGACTTACCCTACTAAAAAGACTAATCAAACACCTAGCTTAAGAGAGGAAATGGGAGTTGGGATGCCATCAAAACATCTTGTGCTCACCACAAAATACAAACAGGAACCAAAGACCAGATCTTTTTGATGGACTTCCCTACTTTCCTCCAACACACAAAAGTCTCTCTCAAAGTGCCTGGCATGGCCCAAGTCATACCAAAGAGAAAAGAACATGTTCCAAAGATCTGTGGCAACAGTGCAATAAAGAAACGGATGATTTATAACTTCTGCTTGCATGAGCACATGTAGCATCTGTTGGCTAAACGAAACTTCCTCCTCATAAGATTATCATGTGTCAAGCAATAACCATTAAGACTAACCCAGCTGAAACATATGACTTTTAGTGTCATCTTAGTTCTTCAGATAAGTTTCCAGATCAATAAGTGTCTTCCTTGAACTTAGATGTAAGTAACCTTCTTTGACCAAATAGGAGCTATCCTTGTTACTTCCCTAAGTGAGTCTATCCCTGCTTTGGTTGTAACTGAGCTGGTTTGGATGGAGGCCATGAGGGCCATAAAACATCACAATTATATCGTCTTAAACTTGAACCAAAAATCTTCCATAAATTATAATAGTTGTTTTTCGTCCCTTTTACATACACTGTTGACTTAGATAATCCACTTTCAATTACGAAAACACTAACAACAGCAAGCTAAAGCTTGACCCCACCCAAAATAATGCACACACCTCACATATTACTCTATGTCCCGACTTTCCTTCACCTACATAAAAGCACAAAAGACTTAATAACTTGCAGATGCTGAAACTTAGTCATTAATTCTTTTAAGTTATGAAGCTTGGAAGAAACAATAAAAAGGAATGCTCATTACCCTTGGCCTAACGATCGGGAAATCCAAAGACTGAGCTATATGTTTCACCACCTTATCTTGAAATATTCCTTCTTGCCATTCCTAACTGTAAAGGTAATAAAAAAAATGATGTCTTTACAGCCAAATCTATTAACCTTGAGAATGTCCTTGACCTCATATTTAGTGTCCTAAAATGAATCCACAGAAACTTTCTCAGCTTAGTAGATAAAACAAAGAAAAAGAAAGACAATGAAAAGTGTGACCAAGTGCCTCTCCAATATAACCCTTCAACATTTCAATTTTAGCAGGATCTTTTAAAAAAGTTTGGCATGGGGTGTACGGTAGCCAATTGACACAAACCAGGATAATCTCTAATGTCAAATCCCTATCAAAGTACAAGTTAGAGACAAGTAAAGTCTCTAGTGTAATGGAGGGTTGAATATAAAGAACAATCAGTGAAAAGCAGAAGAGAAGTCAACAAAGGAGTGAAAGACAGAGCATATCAACAAAGGGAAGGAATGAAAAACAGAGCAGATAAGAAGAGAAAAACAGGGAATAGCAACAAATAGAAAGAAAAGATGATACCTCACTCTCACAGACTTGATGGAAGTATCTCTTCCAAAACTCTCTGTCTTTTTTTCCCTGACAAGTAAGGATAGCGGTATACAATTATTTAATTAATTCTTCTATACTCGGGTTGTCATAGCTGTCATCCGATCGAGGAGATAGCGGCTCAGAGTCATTATCTTCCTCATCCACCCATTCTTTCTCATATTCTTCTACATCTTTCTTATACTACATCTTCATCCGAATCTGATTCGTTGTTGCTCTCATCTTCTGATGTTACCAACAATGTTGGTGGTTTCAGCGGCAGCAGCGGTGTGGAGACATGATCACGAATTGACAAAACCCCAAAACTTAACTTTTGGTTTCTCTTACATATATAATACTAGAAAAAGTGTCCGTGCTCCGCACAGTACCCGATGTCACTATCTCTTTCCCGTACTGATGAATTCAAGCAACTTTAACTTCATAATTTTCAACTAATTTAACCAACATTTGACTTCATAATGTTATAGTTGAGACCCTTCTATATAAATATAAAGAGTTGAAACAAAGAAATTTCGGCGAACGTAGAAATGACAAGGATTTGTTAGTAATTAAATTATGAGTAACTCAATTACATATTGATAATTCAAGAGGTTGTTCACTCAACCACTCAGGACGTCAAAGAGTTTTATTTCTATAGTTGAGTTGTAGCTTCTTGTTGTTGATTTGCTCTTCATGATGCAGAAATTTTCACATGCATAGAGAAAACCACCATCAACAAAACAATAGACATTCCTTCATAAACAATGAATCATAGAGAAGCCATAAACAATAATGTAACTCTTAAAATAAGTGTAAGTAAATGACCAACAGAAAGATATGGTTAGACCCATCATAGTGCACCACCAAAAGTTAGTGTTGTGATCATCAAATCTTTTACAGTAGAAATGTTATCAAAGTAAAATGTGAAGATGATGAATGTCTTGTGTCTGTTACCATTCACAAGGTTGAAATACAACAAAAGAAAGGAAAAAACTTCGAACAAAGGCCTATAAATGATTTCTTGAATATCAGTTGTTATGCAACTGGATTGTTGAGATGGTACAAAATTAAAGTCCATACCAACAATATTTGTATAGAATTTGGAAAAATAAGAACAAACATAGTAGTAATAGAATTAGCATGCAGGGGAATCGGGAAAAGTCATATTGTTGTGAATTATTCAGTAATCTTTATCTACTAAACAAATTAGAATAAGGAGCTAAACCACAACACCTTTTGTGCATATAACTTTTGAGTGTATAACTGAAAATGCGCTGAAAAATGAATCTGAAAAAAGAATGTTCGTAACGTTTCGAATATGCCAGTTGTTAACTCTTCACATATGATTGAGCAACAGTTTGTTTCATGTTTCTTTCTTTTATCCCCTAAAATGGAGTAGGGTAATTACATATATATTTTAGTTATTAAATTGGAGTTCTTTCTAGGAAACTAATTTGTGACCAACAGTTAAGGTAAGGGATGACTTAGAGTAGGCAGACTGCTTTGGCAGTAGCAATATTAGTTATGGAGGTTCACTCATTCTTTGTCATAAAGGTCATTAATTTACAGAGTTTCTCAACTATGGAGTTTCTTTAACTCTACTCACCCGGCGGTACTTTTTGAAGCTAGTCACCAGCAACATTATATACTCATGATCGGGTAAAACTAAAGACAATCTAGGACGGGTAGTAAAGTGCCAATTTCAGTACTTCCAAGGTAAAGTGGAGTACACAGTTGGATTATTTTAGACGGTAGATATTTTTGAACTGGTAGATTGGAAATAAGAGAAATCAAGTAGTCATTGTTGAGCTATAAAGAATAGAAATATGTGTTAAGCTACCAAAACAAGGTAATAGATGGCTAATATGACAGGTCCTGAGCTAAGTTGCGTTCACTTTTCACTTTTAGTGTCGAATTCTAAAAAAAATGCCTCTGCTATATTATATTACCAACTAATCCCCTAAGAAAATCATAAATTTATTACCACTATTTCGAAAGATTGAAATTAAATAATATTTGAATCAAATTAGAAGGATATGCCTTTTAGTTTGGGTGCCAATAGTAGCATAGTTGTCTAGTCGTCCTTCCTCTTAGGCTCTTATATATTACAAAATATAGGTGCTTTTCATGTTGTCTTAATAAAAAAAAATGGGGTCTTATGAACTCTCACTATTTCGATGGTACTATGGATGTACAACTACAATATCCTATGAAGAGGTTTTTAACTCTTTGTTTTGTAGAGTAGGGGCCGTGAGTTACCATGCTCTATTTAGAATCGATCATGTTAAGGCCAATTACGATCTAATCATTATTCTAAGGCAAATATCTAACTCAACTAAGCGAAATCCATTACTAAATGCACTCAATCAGTGATGGTTATTCCTTCTTTCTTTCAAACAAATTGTCAAACATAAAGGGTGTGCTTAGTAGGGAGGAAAATGATTTCCTAGAAAATGTTTTCCTGGAAAACAAGTAGATTTTGGATTTGTTTTCTCATGTTTGGTTGGTGAGTTGAAAATATTTTTCGAAAATGATTTTTAGTGTTTGATTTATGAATGAAAAATATTTTTGAGAGACATTTATTATTTTTAGATACTTTATGAAATTGAAAATATTTTTTAAAAATAAAATTATTATTTTTTTGGAGTGGTGGGAGGAGGTAGTGGGTGAGAGGGGGTAGGAGTGAAAAAATAAAAAATTGAAGTTGATAGTATTTTTAAAAAACAA